AGTACAGTCTCCGTCCCACCCAGTAATGCAGCCAATGATGACGCTCTCAATGGTGCCCAGGGAGGAGGAACACATGATGGGAAGTGGGGCACTGGCTCTCCTCAGTTTGTGGAGGAAGTAAAAGCATGTTTGATCTTTCTTGGCCAGTGATGTGGTGTTGTTGGTCCAGGAGAGGTCCTCAGAGATGTGCACCCCCAGGAACTTGGTACTGCTCACTCTCTCCACTACAGCAACGTTGATGGTCAGCGGTGGATGCTTTAGAGGTTTTCTCCTGAAGTCCATAATTATCTCTTTAGTCTTCCCCACATTGAGGAAGAGGTTATTGTCCTTACACCACTGTTCCAGTTGGCACAGCATGTTTGATCTTTCTTGGCCAGTGATGTGGTGTTGTTGGTCCAGGAGAGGTCCTCAGAGATGTGCACCCCCAGGAACTTGGTACTGCTCACTCTCTCCACTACAGCAACGTTGATGGTCAGCGGTGGATGCTTTAGAGGTTTTCTCCTGAAGTCCATAATTATCTCTTTAGTCTTCCCCACATTGAGGAAGAGGTTATTGTCCTTACACCACTGTTCCAGTTGGCACACCTCACTCCTGTAGTCAGCCTCATCATTGTTGGTAATGAGGCCACCTACAGTCGTGTCATCTGCAAACGTGACAATGTGGTTGGTGCTGTAGGTTGGCACCCATCGTGGGTTAGCAGTGTGAAGAGCAGTGGGCTGAGCACGCACCCCTGTGGAGCCCCTGTGCTCAGCGTGATGGTCTTGGAGATGTTGCTGCTGACCCGCACATTTTGTGGCCTCCCTGTTAGGAAGTCCAACAACCAGTTGCAGAGAGGGGTTTTGAGTCCCAAGTGTCCAAGTTTTTGTGTAAGCTGCTGGGGAATGATTGTGTTGAATGCTGAACTGAAGTCTAGGAACAGCATTCACATGCAAGAGTTCTTTGAATCTAGGTGGGTGAGGGCTGGATGGAGAACAGCAGTAATGGCATCCTCTGTGGACCTGTTTGACCTGTATGCAAACTGAAATGGGTCATGAGAGGGAAGAAGGATGGACTTGATGTTCTGCATGACCAGCCGCTCAAAGCACTTCATAATAACTGAAGTCAGTGCTATAGGCCGATAGTCACTGTAACTTGTTGGGTTGGGGGTTGGTCTTCTGTGCTGGTGTGTAGTTCTGTGTTTCAAAGCGGCCAAAGAAGTCATTGAGGCTGTGCAGCAGAGAGATATCACTATCACAGCTCCGAGGTGGGGGGTTATAGTCTGTGAGGGTTTGGATGCCCCGCCAGAGACTCTGTGCATCTCTAGTGTCACTGAAGTGTCCAGATACTTTCTTGCTGTATTGGCGCTTTGGCTCCCTGATTCCAGGGGACAGGTTGGTTCTTGCTGTTGCTAGGCCTGCAGTGTCACCGGCCCTAAAGGCTGCATCCCGAGCCCTCAGGAGTCTGTGACCCTCACCTGTCATCCATGACTTCTGGTTGGCATGAACACTGATATTTTTTGCAGTAAGTGCATAAGGATAATCACCTTTATTGGCCAAGTATGTTACACACAAGGAAGCAGCTAGCCCACACAGACCCGCTATACCATCCCTCATTATGGCAAATGTATGCTCACTGGACAACAAAATAGACCACAAACAGCTCCTGAGATCTGCGCGGCATGATGCAAGGGACTGCTGTGTTTTCATCTTCACGGAGACATGACTAAATGACAACATCCAGGACTCCGCTATCCCTGTGATGGTTTACCTCTAAACCAACAGTGTATTAGTGTTTCCCACATGATTAGATTCTTATGTTAACACTTGAGATGTGATGACGCTGATGTTGGGATGATGTCCACACTGTTATTGTCAAGATACTAGGTTACAGTATCCCCAAAACATGTGTAGGTATGTATCTAGGACATCTTACGGGAAATATTGTATTTAAGGAAGATGGATACCTGTTGAAAATATTGTTGGCGGCCTGCAAGAAGGCCATCACAAAAAAATGGAGTAGGCCTAACATACCTACAAGAGAAGAATGGCTTCAAATTGTACACGTAATTTTTGAAATAGAGTTCTTGACGTATAAATTGAGGACTCACAAGGAACAATGTCAAGATAAATGGGAGAAATGGGCAGCTTTCACTGTGCCACTGCGTGTGCGACATGAACTCTCGTGCCTCTAAATCTGCACAGAATCTGAATCTCAGTGATTGGCCAGTCAAGGTTGATCATGCTGAAAACTGGCCATTTGCAATTTCAGCAGATCAATCTGTGCATCTCTACTTTTCCACAGTGGTAACTGCATATTTGACTGACAACTCTTGCAAAAATCTTTGACCATTTGTGTCCTTTTACAAATAATAACAAGCATCTATAAACTTTTACTATTGTAACCCAAACTATAAGTCCCTGCAGCCGAAAGGCTACAACTTTGTTGGTGTACACACAATATAAGTAACCACATAAAGACAGATGAAACTCACTTGTCTGTGCGAATGGCAACACTGTAGTAGGCTCCTGTGGGTGTCCCCGGTCCAGGCCCCCATTTTAACATATGTCTAAAATGGTTTGAGATCAGGATAAGATTGACAGGCGGCGGCAGTGCACTCATAGCTGGAATACAAACAAAGAGACAATTAAATAGAAATGTAAGGATAATATATATTAACATATAATCTATCAAAGTTACATAGCTTTTTGGACATTAACAATGGTCACTCGAAGTATGAAAGTATTCCATGCTAAGCCATGACATGTAATCCAAAGATATGCCACTGAGAATTCCAGCAATTTTACACATCAGAGACTGTTTACAAATTTCAAGAGTGCAATTCATACAATTACTTTAAGGCTGATATGTTTACTGTATGTACATTAATCACACTAATGATTCCTGATACAATGTCAACTAAATACCAGCTTCCCCTTACTTTAAATACACTTTCAGTGAGATTGTGAGCTTTCTGAACATGTAATAATTTAAATAGCAACAATTACCACTTTGACCAAGACTCCCTGGGAGACAAGATAATTTATTTAAATTAGGCCCATGTCACACTCCTCATATCACAGGTTTACTTAAAACAAAATGTCAGTAGTGCCTGATCGAAAAGTGGCAGGGGGGTACCCGCCCCCAATTTCTGTTTAGCCAGTGGCATAGCAGTTTTAGGGCAGACACACCAATACGACATGAAGGCCGTTGCCTCATAGCACCTTTGTCTGGGCCAGTCGGGTTGAAAAAGTGGCACTTGAACAGACTACGTTCTGCTGCAAACCACCAATAAACACCATAAGAAGAAGAAGACTACGTTCTGCGCCTGTGTGACAGAAATAACTCCCCCTACCTGCAGGTGGCATCTGTGTTCACCATTCAGAAAGGGAAAAAAAAGAATAGCTAGACACACAGAAGCAGTAAATAAAGCAGCTGTCGCTCAACACAGCTGCTGTTTATAGCTGCTTCTAATCAAGAATATGTCTGAAGAAATTCCAAGTGGCACTGCCGTTCTCGGCCCTCGGTCTAAAGACCTAAAAGGTTGTGGAAGAAGAAAGAAGGTTGTGGAGGCGAAAAACAAGGAGAAACCACACTAAATGGCTGAAATCATGGATACTGCAGTGACAGGCAGAAGGATTTTTCCCGAACTGTTGTATTCCCGTGCACCGATTTGCTAAGCTGAATAGCCAATTCAGAGTGGTCTCTCTCACTGATGAGGCCCAACCCGCTAAATATCGATTCAAAGTGCTGAACAGACAGAAAAGCCACCAATAAGGACCGACTAGTGACAACGGTGCGGGACACACTGGGAAGACAAGCCCCGATAGATGCTCACCAATGGCCCAAGGGTGGCCGAAGGCCAACCGTAAGCTTGGTGTGTCACAATCCTTATAGGGCAGAGTGGCACGCCAGTCGAGAATGGGCATGTACCACTTGAACAGTAGCATGCCACCTGCCACTTTTGGATCTCAGTGTCACTCCAAAGTACTGCCTCCTCAGAAGAGGCATCTCCAGGTGTAACTGTTTCAGGGTTAGAAGATGTGACATCCATTCACTGTGTACTTACCTGGCAAGACCAGAGGCAGCCATGTGAGCATCCAAATGAAAGCAGTCATGACGGCCACAGCATCTCTGATCCACTTCCTCAAGCAGTCACCACACCTCCCGGGACCCTGCTGCAGCTTTCGCTTTCCATATTAATACTCTGGCGTAACAAAATTGGAGTTGGACGGACTACAGCTTTAACTTGTAGTCACATGTGTTAGTACTATAACACAAAAGTGCCAAATGAATCAAGGTTAACTACATGGTAAATGTCAAGTGGGTATCAAACTTAAGTTACTTTCCAGTGACACAATGTGTTTAAGTTATTTTAACTATAAAGTAACTTGTACTTAAGCTTAAATTAAGTTAAAAGTTAACAGGTTAGGTTAACGTTAACTATATTACAACGTTACTGACAGTGAATGTGTTGCCGAACACCTTCACATGGCTTCTGTATCCTTAGTTAACGTAGTTTAACGTTATTTCCACTGGAAAACACTTGCAGTTAACGCTATCTAACGATACGATGCCCTGTTATAAGTAATGCTAATGTTAGTCGTCTTTTTCTCAAGATGCCCACTCGGCGGAAATGCATTTAATGCTAACCGTTATCGGCGACTGTCAACGCTAGCTTACGCCAGCATGTAGCTAAACTGTAAAGCAATGCTTTGACAATAAGTCAAAAGCTACAAACTGTAACATGTAATAGTATGTCTGACATTATGTTTACCTGTCCCGGGAAGTGTTTCCATATTAATTTCAGCCACAGCTGCTAGTCACTAGACCAAACGTAGTGTGACATACGAAAAATACCCCTATGCTAGCCCTGTTGCCTTCACGGACCTCTAGTAAAGCTGTAACCCCAGCGCGATGTGGCGTTTCGGTCCGGTCGGTCCGTGAAAGCAGCATCCTTGCTATGAAATCACGTGACCTAGTAGAAATAGTCGTGAGGGTGAGGGCCTGCACAGTAGGTGTCTGCTCAGTGTGTGAACCGGTTTCATTTTACTTGTCTGTTCTTCGCAACGCATAGAGGTAAGAACTGTTCTATGAGCAGTGATGGAATAAGTACTCAGATTGTTTAAGATTGACAGGCGGCGGCAGTGCACTCATAGCTGGAATACAAACAAAGAGAGCATCCAAATGAAAGCAGTCATGACGGCCACAGCATCTCTGATCCACTTCCTCAAGCAGTCACCACACCTCCCGGGACCCTGCTGCAGCTTTCGCTTTCCATATTAATACTCTGGCGTAACAAAATTGGAGTTGGACGGACTACAGCTTTAACTTGTAGTCACATGTGTTAGTACTATAACACAAAAGTGCCAAATGAATCAAGGTTAACTACATGGTAAATGTCAAGTGGGTATCAAACTTAAGTTACTTTCCAGTGACACAATGTGTTTAAGTTATTTTAACTATAAAGTAACTTGTACTTAAGCTTAAATTAAGTTAAAAGTTAACAGGTTAGGTTAACGTTAACTATATTACAACGTTACTGACAGTGAATGTGTTGCCGAACACCTTCACATGGCTTCTGTATCCTTAGTTAACGTAGTTTAACGTTATTTCCACTGGAAAACACTTGCAGTTAACGCTATCTAACGATACGATGCCCTGTTATAAGTAATGCTAATGTTAGTCGTCTTTTTCTCAAGATGCCCACTCGGCGGAAATGCATTTAATGCTAACCGTTATCGGCGACTGTCAACGCTAGCTTACGCCAGCATGTAGCTAAACTGTAAAGCAATGCTTTGACAATAAGTCAAAAGCTACAAACTGTAACATGTAATAGTATGTCTGACATTATGTTTACCTGTCCCGGGAAGTGTTTCCATATTAATTTCAGCCACAGCTGCTAGTCACTAGACCAAACGTAGTGTGACATACGAAAAATACCCCTATGCTAGCCCTGTTGCCTTCACGGACCTCTAGTAAAGCTGTAACCCCAGCGCGATGTGGCGTTTCGGTCCGGTCGGTCCGTGAAAGCAGCATCCTTGCTATGAAATCACGTGACCTAGTAGAAATAGTCGTGAGGGTGAGGGCCTGCACAGTAGGTGTCTGCTCAGTGTGTGAACCGGTTTCATTTTACTTGTCTGTTCTTCGCAACGCATAGAGGTAAGAACTGTTCTATGAGCAGTGATGGAATAAGTACTCAGATTGTTTACGCAAGTAAAAGAAACAATACCACAGTGTAAAAATACTTTGCTAGAATCAGAAACATCCTTAATGGCCAAGTACGATGTATGTATGTTTGGCTCGCAGTGTGTTTGGAAGGCAGCAGGAAATAAAAACAATGAAAATAAAAAGTAAAAAGAAATAAAAACAATGAAAAATGTGCTTTCAGATGGGAAACAGAGGATGCGAATTAGCAAGAACTTCTGTAACACAGGTTGAATTAGCAAGAACTTCTGTAACACGGGTGCTTAAATAGTGCAGGCGTATGTCATCACTCAAAAAATGTAGATTAAACCTAGAAAACTGAGCTTAATCATATGTCATCACTCAAAAAATGTTGATTAAACCTAGAAAACTGAGCTTAATCCATAAACAATCTGGTAGCAAGCACAACACGGTGCAGACACAGGAAATAGGAAGTGAGTACGTTTACCCCAAGAACCAGAAACAGCAGTCCTCCAGGAGACAAAGAGTAAATTCCGTTTAACATCTGGATCAAGTCTCACACAGTGCATGATGGGATATCTGCTATTTCAGATGGTGAAGCCGTAAACAGTAAGGGTGTGTCTCTACTATGTAGTAGGCCAAAATGTGTATGTGAGACAAGTTGTATGTCTGAAATCTTAGTGGTAAAATATGTACGAGTAGTACCTGGGTGACTTGCATCTTGGCCAGGTCATCCTCGGAAAAATAGATCTTGATTTCAATGCAACTAAATTTGGCATGTAAATTCACTTTTTTTTTTTGCAGTTTTATTAACATTTACATGTATTTTAGAAATGCAGGAAAAATCTTTATAACAAACAGGAAAATTATAAAATACACTTTTTTTTTTTTTTTTACTGTGTGCCAGTGCAACCTGCACATCTGTACCAATCAATGAGAAGACAAGATTAATAAGCGCCATGGGTTCAAGCAGGACCTGTAGTCAGGACTCAAAGTAAATGCTACTTCATTAATACTGAGGCAACTCAGCTTTTTTTTCAAACCAAAGCATAAAACATTTAGCTTTTCTTCCTTTACTGGCACTCTGCTGGCATATTTGGTCACATGAATATGTATTGATCTCGAAAAACATTTCTTTTTAAAAAACTGAACATGATCTTATGTGATTCAGCCAGATCAAGTGTCCACATGCCTCCTTTCATACCCACTTTCACTGAAGTCTTCATGTGTGGGCTGCATTAATGTCACAGCTGTCTGATCACCTGACTCTGTTTTAGAGTCTGTGTCGCTCAAAGTCAGTTTTGAGACTGTGGGCAGTAGTGGCTCTGGCTCAGACAGTTTCAAAGAGTCCCTGGTATTCTGCTCCTCTTCCTCACCTACAGCCAGTGCACTGAGGGTGACTGAGAATAGATTGACATTGCTGGAGCTGTAACACACCCCCTGCTCCTCTTCTTCCTCCTCAACTGTGACCTGCCCATGGACTCCAGTTTGACCATGCTCAGGCACAAAAGATACAGTTGCTCCTAGAGCTTCAACCCTGTGTTGATTAAGTTCCCTGTGTTTGACCCCAACCTCAAACTCAGAGTCTGGTGCCTCCACCTCAGCTGACAGCCTCTCTGTCACACACCTAGAGTCAGCTGACTTGCTGCCTGACATGTTACCAGAGTGCTGGCAGGAATGTCCACCTGAGGAAAGCTCTGCATCTCTGTCAATGTAGATATTTATCCCTTCCTCTTCCTCATCATCTTCATCCTCCTCCTCCTCGGAGTTGATGTCCCTGGAGGCAGGATCCAATGTTGTGGGACTGTTGATAGAGATTAGGTCTGGGGTTGTTTTCTCTGGTGTCAGGGAGGAACCTTGGCTCAGAGCTGTCTACAGTGGCAAAGGAGACAAAGACAGTGGAGGAATGAGGAAGTATAATAGTTAGGGTAGGGCTATGGTAGGGTAGAACTTTACTGATCCCACAGTGAGGAAATTCCAGTGTTCCAGCAGCAGTAAGGGACAAAAACAACAGAGCAACAAGACACCATAAGAACAGATACCACACACTGATCTTGATAGACAAATTCAGAAAGCACAGAAAGAAAAAAAACACAAAAGTGGACAGAGCTACTGGAACTCGCTGCCGCTCTGTGCGGCGCGTCTTAAAAAACAAGAAAGAAGATGGGGAAGATGACAGTGAGACAGGGCGACTCAAAGATCAAGAATTCCTGTTAAATACAGTATGGTTTCATCCATTCATCACTTTCTCTTTACCCAAATTAAATTATGCTACTGGAAGTGGTCAGAGATGGCAAATCTTCAGTGTGAGGTTTGAGGGCCAAATGAAACTACAGTGCGCTGTCAACATAAAGCTGGCCTTCTCGTTACTAGATCATTTCCTCCTCCTGTGGTATTGTTAGGTGTTTTTAGTCAGATAGAAATTGAATAGATACTTTATGTATTAGAAATGTTTAGTGGAGATAGGATGTCTAGTTAGACTGTTAAATGCTTGGTCATGCTTATGAGTTTCTACAGGGTACATCTGGTCAAGGATAACTAGAGAGAAGAGTTGATGACTGTCAGCAGACAGGATGTTTAATATTATTATTATGACGTGTATAACTGTAGCCTTAGCCATAATATGTTCTTATGTTTAATATCATGACATGTTACTAGAGGTCGTGTGAGAATGTTTTTAGTTACATACACACACACATTGATTTGCTTCATGTTTTGACTATTGCTATGGCCAGCTGCAAGGATGGCACCAGGGACGCGTCACGGTTGACGTTCCTGTGTAGAATAGGGCTAGCCCAAAACAGATATACGGTAATGTACAGGCCTGTTGGGTTCGGGGTCTTTCATCTTACATCTGCCTGCGTGCATGTTGGGGGTGCAAGATACCTGAGCGTGTAATGTTAATTTTTACCTGTGATCATTGAATAAATCAGCACTGTATTGAAGCTACTTGGACTGTCTCGTCTCTCAGAGTTAGCATGGTACAAGAACCGGAAGACTTCAAAACTATCTGACTAAAAATACCTAACAAACTCTTGCAGGAGCTTTATCTCTCTGATCCCAGTGCTGTAAGGCCTACCTGTGATCAGACTTTCAGTAAACTTTCTGTTGATTTTAAACAGTCCTCTCCTGTCTTCACTTCTCGTGCTTCCAACAAAAGAATCTGGTTAATTTCTAACACTACCTTTAAGCTCCATTTAAACTGGGACAGTGCCAAAAACAATAAATTCTGCCAGGTCAGATAAAATCCACCCACAGAACCAGCACCTCTAAAGCATACCATTAAATTTATTAAATCCATTCAAAAATCAAAATGTACAAACAACATAGATATAAATGCTTCTTACAATTAGTGCTCTGGGCAGCGCTGCCTTCAGTTTACAAAGGAATCCGGTGTAGCAGAGGCAAAACAAGAAGGTCATCAAGAAGCCGGTAACTCCAATAAGAAGAGCAGCAACTGCACCTAAAATAAAAGAGTCTGAAGACACACAGTAATAAATCCTTCAGTCTGGAAGTGTTAGTGCCTTAATCTGGATATGTACGTATCTGGACTATGCAACAAAAACTCTGACCAACATATAGGGCTTTATTCTTGTGTAGGTGCAGAGTGAGAAATGCATCTCTACAATGGGAAACTGGCAGTTTCCTGAAGTGCACCAAGCTTATTTCCTCACCTATGTTAGGTATTTTCAGTCAGATAGATATTGGATAGATACTTTATATATTAGAAATGTTTAGTGGAGATAGGATGTCTAGTTAGGCTGTTAAATGCTTAGTCATGCTTATGAGTTTCTACAGGGTACATCTGGTCAAGGATAACTAGAGAGAAGAGTTGATGACTGTCAGCAGACAGGATGTTTAATATTATTATTATGACGTGTATAACTGTAGCCTTACCCATAATACGTTCTTATGTTTAAGTCACGACATGTTACTAGAGGTCGTGTGAGAATGTTTTTAGTTACACACCACTTAATCAACAGACACACACACACATTGATTTGCTTCATGTTTTGACTACTGCTATGGCCAGCTGCAAAGCTGGTAACAGAGACGTCTCGGTTGACGTTTCTGTGTAGTATGGGGCTAGCCCAACCGAGGGGATATAATGTATAGGCCTGGTGGGGTCAGGGGCTTTCATCTTACATCTGCCTGTGTGCATGTTGGAGGTGCAAGACACTTGAGCGTGTAATGTTAATTTTACCTGTGATCCTTTGAATAAATCAGCACTGTTTTGATGTTACTTGGACTGCCTCGTCTCTCAGAGTTAGCATGGTAAGATGGACTGTATCCTACACCTATTATGCTTTGATAACTTGAGGTTCCTACAAATTCTGTCCCTGTGTCTCCATCTAAAAGCACTGGGTAACCACGTTGTGCGTGAGTGAAATGGCTCATCTTTTTAATAACGTTTGGCCAAAGTACCACCTGAAGCAACATGCTGCCAGGTTATGTAGCAACGTGAAGATAGAATAAACACCTGTTTAGATCCCAGTTTGTTGTCAGTAGTTATTTTTCCAATAAAACAGTCAAATCTGATTAAACTTTCAAAAAAATGTAACAAAATGTGCACATTATTATTATACAATATTCATAAATTTACTTTTATTTTACTTAGACCATTACTATAGTAATGTAGTGCAGGTGATATCATACACTTAGAATGTACTGTATGATACTGAATCCTTTCTGATCCAAGTGCAGCAACAACCCCTGGCCATGAAATTGCCAAAACTGCATTGGCACACTCTTGACACAGGCTATGGGCACTTAATTGTGCTTCATGCTGCACCTCTTTATTCACAAAAACAGAGCCCACACACTTCACGTTTCACTTCAGCATCTTAATAACACAACAGCATAAACATCAACTCTGAAAGTACAACTCACCTGTACTAGGTTCCACAATGCTAGTCAAGGTGCATTTCCAAGCAGATGGCTCCATATTTTTGTTCGTACGAGACTCTGTGTGCACCTGTATACAGTACTCCGCACCAGTTTCTAATTCCCCAAGAGTAAAAGTCTTGTTTTTTGTTTTGTAGACCCCCTGCAGGTCAAATAAGGAAAAAAAACTTTGATAAAAATATTTATTTTTATTTAAATGTTATTTTACTAGGAAAACCTAATTCAGATTAAAAATCTCTTTTACAAAAGTGCCCTGGTTAAAATATTACATTTGAGCCACATCTGTGACCTTAACTTTCGATACATTACTCTACGATTTGGTCACAATATTTAATCTAAATTTTGATTTCATTTTGGGCAATTATTTCATCTTTTCAAGTGGTCAGATGTGGCATCTGATGTGACCAAGCCACAAAGTTGTTCAGAGTGCTGAGGTCACAGATGGTACTATCTTTTTCCACTTCAAAGAAAAGGCAAAGCTGCTTTGGAAGTAACAATTATATTCTGTTAATTAAACTTAGATAATGTAATAAACAAGTGGATCCTGGTAGGAAAACTAATTAACAAATGGACATCACCTCATACAGTATGTGTAGTATTCAACTGACAAACAATAAAGTAAACCAGATGTGACTGTAGAGAGAGTACAAGGATACCGCTTCTGTCAAAGTGAGGTGTGAAGTTGGGTAATTTATGATCATAAGCCCTGTCCACTTTTTGCACTTTGCTTCCAAGCCCCCCACCCAGTTTTTCTAGACTTTATTATTTTATAACATGCAGGTGTGTACAATAAAAATAGTAGCACCAGGTTTGGCCAACACCACCACAGGCTAGCGTTATTACATCAAAGCATTTTTTTTAAACTACATCAGGCCAGACCGCCAGCACACAGATATAGGCAGATGTTTTCTGAAGACCCATAGATGTAAAGTGTAATGTTTCTCTGTTAATCAATTTGTGGGGATTAAATATTAGCATCAGAGTCTAGTTTCAAAGATGTTTAGCCCAGATAGTTTTGTTAGATGTAAGGAATAATTTTAGCATAAACAGTATAATTCTATTTTAACTTATGAGAAGGCCTTCTTATGAAAAGGACCTCACTTGGACACTTAACACCACACAGCTGGTCAAGAAGGCCCAACGAGGGCTGTACTTCCTGAGGAGGCTGAGGAGGTTTGGCATGTCGCCTAGGATCCTTTGCAACTTCTACAGCTGCATCATTGGGAGCATCTTGACCAGCTGCATCACTGTCTGGTATGGCAGCACTACTGCTATGGACCGCAAGTGCCTGCAGAGAGTGGTAAAGACTGTGGAGAAGATCACCAGGACTCCACTGCCCTCTCTGCAGAGCATCTACCACTGCAGGGTGTGTAGGAAAGCTGCCTCCATCCTCAAAGATCCCACCCACCCCCAGCATGGACTGTTCGCCTCCCTACCCTCTGGCCGGAGGTTCAGAAGTGTGAAGTGTAGGACCACTAGACCGAAAAACTCTTTCTTTCCCTCTGCCATCAGACTCCTAAAGGAGAAGCTAGTGTTTCTCCCTGACATATAAGGAACATTACCACCAAGTGTCCATGCAAATTCTCCATCATCCAGGTTGTAGTATGCTGAAAAAATGTAGCAGAAGACATCTGGACTTTAGGTAGAAGATGTTTCACCTCTCATCCAAGAGACTTCCTCAGTTCTTTGTAAGAGTTGAGTCTTATAGGTGTCAGTTACTTTATAAGCTTTAGTTACTTTCCATACCTTTAGTTTCTTTTCATACCTTATCTCCTTTACCTTTCATACCTTTATTTTCCTTGCTTATATGCAGTGGGTACGGAAAGTATTCAGACCCCCTTAAATTTTTCACTCTTTGTTATATTGCAGCCATATACTCAAATCATTTAAGTTCATTTTTTTCCTCATTAATGTACACACAGCACCCCATATTGACAGAAAAACACAGAATTTTTGACATTTTTGCAGATTTATTAAAAAAGAAAAACTGAAATATCACATGGTCATAAGTATTCAGACCCTTTGCTCAGTATTTAGTAGAAGCACCCTGTTGAGCTAATACAGCCATGAGTCTTTTTGGGAATGATGCAACAAGTTTTCACACCTGCATTTGGGGATCCTCTGCCATTCCTCCTTGCAGATCCTCTCCAGTGCTGTCAGGTTGGATGGTAAACGTTGGTGGACAGCCATTTTCAGGTCTCTCCAGAGATGCTCAATGGG